CACGTCCGTAAATCACCAGAGATGCATCTACAGTAATCTCAAACACCGATTTATTTTTTCTTGACGGTCATTCACTTTACATTTTTTGCAATATTTCCCAAACAAATTTTTATTCCTCAGTCTTTCTCCATTCATTCATGTACGTTTCTTTTCCAAAAATTTTTTTATATCACTGGTTGTAAACATAGCCCTCAGACCTCAAGAATATCCTTGACTACATTTGTATTTGTCTTTCTTTTGATCTGAATGTTATACTTTCCGATCATAATACTTTTCTTTGGTCTTTGCCTAGATTTATGTACCTCGGAGTGGTATATAGGGCCAATGCGCTACATATGTTTGTCCCTGATACTGCATGCGATTCCATTGTCACTAACGAATTAGTATTCATTGACCTCAGTAGCCCGACGCCAACATGCCTATTGCATTGTAAAGCGGTATCCTGGTTTTTCCAAAGAGTAGGACTGTTTTGTTCTGATCTTCTATGTTTTTCAGCTGAGTACTGAGATGCAGACCACTGCCGATCCACGAAGGCCGAACAAGATTGTAAGGTTCGTGTCTTTTGTTTCTAACTTTGATACTGCATCATCCAGGATTTCATCATTTTAATTCCTTTCTCCTAAATGACCTTTATTACGCCATAATTTTTAGGTTCAAAGCTGCAGATCCTCAATCAGCCAATGCTGTAACTGATGACCCTTTGCCAGAATACATGAACGTTCTGGGAATGATATTCAGCATGTGCGGTCTGATGATGCGGGTATGTTCCTTCTTGAATTGCTATAAGTTCTGATTCTTGTAAGGGTTAGAATCCTTATGAGACCCTTGCAATAAGTGTCTAATCTCGTCCAAAAAAATGGAAATTAGAAAGCAACCGGAGCCATGGTGGTATGCTTTGTTGGCTTATATACGGTTTCGATGAACGAATGTGAGATGTGTTTCTTAGCTCCCATATTCTTTTACTGAGTACTTCAACTCTGCCTTCAGCAAACATTACTCGGTTTTATTTTACAGATGAAATGGTGTGCATGGATGGCTCTTCTGTGCTCCTGTGTCAGTTTCGCCAACACACGCTCATCAGACGATGCGAAACAAATCGTTAGCAGCTTCATGTGAGTCCATCTTTTTAAGGTTACGTTTGTAAAGGTGGGATTGAATCTCATGCAAATGTAAATTCTACAGTATGTATAAAGGGGAACTTAAAATGGGGTTAGGGAGGGTTTTAGTCCAACATACAAACCTTTCCCCTGAGCTACCTCTCGTGGTCCTTTCGTTTTCCTCACTTCATGCAAGTTGGTCCGCTCTGAGATCGTAGATTAAATGCATCACAGTAGCATAATTATTGTTTTCTCAATATTCCCTACCTTGTTCCTTGGCGCTCCCATACGGGGACTGCCTTATTCTCTTTTGCTTCCCATACCGGTGAGATGCATGCTCTAAAGTAAATGCTATTTAAACCTGATCAACTGAATTCTTGCACAGCCATGGTTCAGGTTGTCAGTGTCCGCTGTCGTTATGAGTTATCTGCAGAATCCGCAGCCAATAATCCCACCATGGGCATCATTTATGTGATACTATTGTGATGAAGTGCTCTCGTATTTTTTTTATTCACTTGGCCATGCTAGGAGTCGAACTTATTAAACTTGTTAATAATGTTGAATTTGTCACACTTTCAATAAAATTCGACTATGGAACATTCTGGACAGGCGTAAACGCGAACAGCAAAAAAATCATAGCAATATTTATTAATTCATTCTGAGAATAAATCATGAAATGTGCGAAGCGTTCAGGCACACATAGGATATGGTTCATACAATAACATACATAGAGCTCAAGAAACTTTTCAATGCACAGTGAAGTATACAAACATGCTTGTTTGATACGAAAAAGTTCCTCGAATGGTAAGATACTGTAGCTTACGACAACAAAACCAAGAATGTGTTTATTAATGTCGACGTTGGCTATGGTGTGATACAAAGTAGTAAGAGTGATGCGGTATTACATGACAAAAAGCCCTCTCTTATAAATATGGGCATTTCCTTGCAAAGGGTCATGTCAAATCAGGGTCAGTATTTGAAAACCAAGACCCTATCAAAGTAGTCGTGGGTTGGGCAGAAACGTATGCCATTGAGCTATAAAACTTCGCCTTCTTTTAGAATGCCCTCAAGTCTTGAAGCAATGCCGTAAAGTGGTAGCACTAAGTCGTTGAGCGGAATGCTGCATTTAAGATTTTCACTAAAACTTATTTCAAAGGCACAGTTCACGATAATTTTGGAGTATCTAGTTTTGGACGAGTAGTGGTAATGGTAGTCCAGGATAGAGCAAAAATGGCGAAAGAAAGCAAAGAAATCGGTGTATTCAGAGGTACGTAAGGCTTTAAAAAAAGTAGTAAGATAAGAAGTTGGACGAGAATGTGACGTTAGAAGTTGCATGGAAGGTGTATTTGGACGAGCTAATCATATGCACGCATCATTGCATACAGCTGGCTACAGTAAGCTGTCTGCGTGCGTGCAAGGTGTGGATTCCGGTGCGAATGCAACCTCTACAGCTTTTACAACGCTTAAGAACTCTTCCGGCTTGGATGTGTACTTCGGTTTAGAACGTTTTGAGGCCCTTACACCCCCTAACTTGACCTTTTGTTGATTGAACAGCGTACTTTAGGCTATCTTTAGAGGTCACAGGTTCATCCTATTGATGAATCTCAGAAACCATTTTTAACGTGAACTGTGCCCTTGACAGGAGCACAGACTACGTGAGTGTTCATACATCATGAAGAAAAGAGGTCATTTGTGAAAGATAAGAGTAGAAGAAAGTTTCATAAGATATGAGTAGGAGGAAGTCTCATAGAAGTAAAGAACAAGAAAAAGAACTACACCACGCATTCGGTTGGTCGCTCCGCGACCGCTCGCCCAATTGGAATTCATTGCGATAGTGAACATAGGATAACAGAACAGATCACAAAATAATGCAAACCCTTTCAAATAATGTAAGTGTCATTCACAGACGAATCGGCTTATTATTAGAGATAAGTGAGGGTTCTTTCTGGAAAGCAGAAGCGAAGCGATTAAGCAAAATTGGAAAATCGTACACGAAGCATACGTACGTTGATCATGGTCTCAATTGATACTTATGTTTTGCTAAGTCTCTTCCTGCACATTAATCGTTTTGCTTGCCTATAACCAGGTATTCTGTGGCGGTGGTCCGTCCTCGCTTTTATGTATCGCTCACAATCTTGATAGGTTGCCGACTGGCTTCAAACGTGTCCAATATTTTGTCGGTCTTCTCCCAAAGTGCAGTCTGAAGACTTTCATCTCGGGCTAATGGTACATCAAGATTCTTCTCGTCGTCCCAGCATGATTCCCAGTACTTGCCGCTGACCTGAACCGTTGAAAATATCGGAGTGTTTCAGAAATTAATATGTATTCAAAGCGTAGAAATGTAGAATGGTTCTACAACTTCATGCAACTAGCCAGTGGATAAATTAATTCTGAGTGACTTGAACAAAGAATCAATGGATGAAGGATATTTATGACTCAAACTCATTCAACTTAACTAAAAAGTCTTCTCATCCTTTTTCGAAATTTGGAGCATTCAAATTTTGAGTGGGAGGCATGGTGTAATTTTGGAACAGTTTCAAAGCTTCTACGCAAAAAGTTTAAATGGCCTAGCTGCTCCCTTTACTTATATCACAACATCTATTGAATGCCATGGCGGCGTTAGACCGCTACATCAATTGCTGTTTGGATGAGGGCACACCACCAGCAGGAATGTCAAGAACTGCTACACTCGCTTCTCAAGAAGACAGAAACGATCCTCGAAGAGAAACATCTGTGTAAGTTTGTATAGAATATCGTCATTCTCGACGCGGTCAAAGAAGATCAGGGTGGTGGCACCCACAATCTTGGGATTAGTTTCTGGGGTGACCATTCAACAGTCGTCGGACGCTTCCAAGCCCTCGGCCACAGACAAGAGCTAATTCAATCCGCTCCCACCGAAAAAAAAATGTAGACACCTAAGCACTAAGTATGAGATTTAGTTCCCCTACGATCGCCCCTTGACGCTGTTTTTAGGGTCTTTGAACATACTATTGAACCTCTTACGCACATCCATTACATCCGGAGAAGCAGCACAGTAGACGGTAGTGGCCGCTCCTTGCTCCAGCGATTTGGTGAACGGTTTTACAACGGCGTTCCAAAATTTTCCAAGAAATCCCCAACTTCGTGATATGTCTGAAATCATGCGATACTTCTGTGAAAGTTCTTCCAAGAGCACAGGGGGAAAACAGTGATTTTAGAATTCCAAGTGTGTTCCATTACCATTACCACTTCCACCTCAGAAGTCAGCTACACCTTTCCTAAAACCACAACTCCTTTCACATCATGTACTTGACTGATTTCTATAGCTAATTTCGAAGGCCTTACAAGTGATAGGTGTTACAGCAATGGCCTTGGGTACTTAATATTCCATATACGACCTACGGTACCTTGAAACAAGCTATTTTCGGGAAGAGATGCCTGCCGCTCCTCATTCCTTCTATCACAATACAGCGAGCTACAGGACAGACCTGTTCTAGGTGTACTATGCATAACAACCCAGCAGTCGCTACAGCATGAACAAGTCAAAGAAGACCATAACTTGGATGTAGGTTCAGTGGAACATTAGGAGGATGATTACATACACAAAAGATTTCATATGCATTATCGCCTAATCTTTTGATAATCACTTTTGACTTGCTTTATCCTGCTGTAATATGGAAAGGTGGAAATATGGAAAATTGAATTCAGCCCATGTATACCTGAGTTTCCATAAAACCATAGTGGGTCCCTCGACACGAAACTTTTCCAGACCGTTGGGATGCTTGACATTGGGTAACTTCTCCCCAATTGCGGCATTCTAACTTGCCGCATGCGGCTAATGTCACTGCAACTACCATACTCCCCCCGCCTCCCCGCCAATCGATAGGACGCGGAATTTTTCGTTAGTTGTCCTTCTTTTCAATTAGATTTGATCGTTTTTTCTATTTCGTTCTCAGTTTTATTTGGCGACGATCAAGACTGCATTGAAATTGAAGAGAGTGGTCAGCCAATTCAAATAATTAAAGGACTCCCTACCTCACAAATTGCGCGCTCCAATCTGCCATCGCAATCCTGCGATACGCGGCGGGTGCGGCGTGCGCGACGCCGT